ATAGCGATTCCCAAAGTGGTGCAGGTGACCACGGGAGACTCGACGGGGGTCTAAGTTGGTGTGAAAAAAATATGGGGGAAAATTAATCTTATGGTTGCTTGGTAGCCTCTATATTTAAAAGTTTTTTGAGTGGTGTAAAGTGACGCACTTCTGCACTTACCGTCACTTTGTGTCTTCATACGTGTGGACGCCGTAAAAGCCACCTGCAGACTAAAAAGAAACGGATGTTGATATAACTCTCAGTGGGACGAGGCGGAACTTGCTGGCAGCAGAGATTTGAGCATTTGTGTATATTCAATGCACAGGATAGTACGCCACCATTACCTTTGTTGAAGAGATTCTAGTTCCCTGAGGCTGAATACTGGTTTAATTCCAGCACTGAGCCAGGACTCACACATTACTGATGTCTCCAAAACTGACTCTGGGTCAGGATCTGGGGTCTTTTTCGAAGTTAATCGTAATAAGCTTAACTTTTCTCTTGGCGAATATACTTCGGTCTTTCAGGCTGAGGTAAATGCAATCCTCAAAGCCATGGACTACGTGGTGAAAAAGGGCAAGATGGAGGAGGGCAAGGAGTTTACGTGTCTGTAGGGACAGCCAAGCTGCACTTAAGGCATTGGCCAGCCCTCTAACTAAGTACTTTCAGACTGGTTCGGAAATGCAAGTCTCTATTAAATTATGTTGGTAAACATAAGGAGCCTGCTTTACTCTGGGTGCGAGGTCACTCTGGAGACGTAGACCAGGTATTCCTCGATCCGCAACCAGCTATAGCACTCCCCACCTCGGCCATCGAAGCCACCATCAGAAACTGGGTGAATACTTCGCTCAGCAATGACTGCGAGGCATCGAGGAGATGCAGGTAGGCAAAACTGATGCTGCCTTCAATCTCAAAAGGTCTATTTAGTTTTTTTGCTCTCACTGCATACAACTTGTTGGACTGCTGAGTGTTCACTTCGCGTGGCACAAACACCTGACTGCGATAGGCGTAAATGACTACTCCATTTGCCCATCCTGCCTTGAAGGCGATGAGACGGTGGAACACTTTTTGTGCTTCTTGCTTACTTAGTGGTTTGTCATCGATTTTTCTAGATTCGGTCTTTTCTCTATTGTCGGTTTCTGAATTTAAAGTTTGGCGAAAAAAGCTTTTCGGGTTTGTGTTTCAAGTTTTGTGCTTTAAAAATGTGAGTGATAAATATTTTTCGCATCACTTTAAAACTCGGAGCGATAAAAATAAAAATGTTGCCTGATTACTAATTAAAATTAATTACTAATAAAAATTTTTACAAGCGAAAATCTTTTGTCAGCTCACCCTGCATAGTCAGCAATATAACCAAGGAATGAAACCGATTCAAAATAACGTTCCGGTGTCGGGTTTGGTTTCGTTATTCAAAATTTGTTTCGGTTTCGTTCCGGTTTCGATTTTGGAATAAAAAAATTAAAACAAGTTTGACAAAAAAAATTATTTATTGAATAAATATGTACCTTCCAAGGTTTGTTTTTGGCGAAATTAAACTTTGTGATTAATTTTAATTTATATAAACACCTTTGAATCAATTATACAAACTAATAATTATGTTCCACCACATTTGCTTAGATCTGAATGCAGAAATTTGTTTATTATACTATGTACGTCTCCATTGAGAGATTTATCTTTTAAGAGTTAATAAATCCAGTTAGTTGCTAAATCACAACCGTCTCCATTGCCACAACGAGATATTTTTGACGTTCACATTTTTAAATATTTGACGTTTGCTTGTGTATGTGTTTATAAATATAAATATGATTTTATTGAAATACAGACCGATAAAAGGAAGGTACCAGAGCGGAATTTCATTATGTGAATTCTTAATATTATTGGCTTCGTATTCGTGGTAAATATGTATAATATATGTGGGAATCAACGCACGGACCACTCGTAGCGGAAATAAGTACTGACGCACTAACGTACGGCCGTACTTAAAAACGCAACCCTGACCTACGACGATACTCCACACTGCCAAACGAACCGAAGTACGAAACGAAGAAGTACCCAACGCACATCGTACGCTGATCCATGTAATTAAACGTTTTAATATTCAATAAATATATGCATACCCGGCATTAACCGCTAATATATGTAAAAGAGTGCTTTATTCCGAGAGTAACAAGGGGTGCCCTACATACATATGAAGGGTTTAGAATCAAAAGAATCTAAGTAGATCTGGAATTTTTTTTTGAGATAATTAAGGTTAAAGTTGATTACTTATTGTCAATTCTGTGTAAATGCATCTGAAATGATTCTTGCCTAAATGAATGCAGGCTAATTAACTGATTCAAAGAATGATAACTCTTTGTCACCAAATAAACACTATATTTAACTATACAAATATGGGTATAACTTATATTTTCAAAAAATTTCACTTAGACCCTTCTGATTCTAACCCCTTCATATAGTTTGGAAAATGTAACTTATGGTACCATATTCCGAATCATTTTCCCGAATTTAAGAAATATTATCAAAATGGGAAAGAACATTTGCGGAAAGAAAAATTTTTAAAGAGCTGTTGGGGAAATAAACTCTCTTTTCAAAATCAAATCGTGGGTCCTTGGCATATCATGAAAACCTAGTTAGCAAATATGACTGCCAATTTATTTCTTGAGCCGAATTGAGTTCTAGAGGATGTTTGGTGCAATGTTATCGAAGCAGACCCATTACGGAATTTTATAAATTTTATGTCGCAGCGCGTAAAGGATTTATAGAAAGCGGAGAAGACTCTGCATGATATTATCATAAAACATTTTTTTTGAATTTTCAGTTTTTAAAATAACATCTTAATTTATTACAAACAAAGTTATGTAAATATTAATAATTTTCCTTCAAAACTGACCAAAATATAAAAACGCCTAAAAATACGGAAATACATGCTTTTTTAATAGGCTAGATTTCAACGTCCGCAACTGTATATTGAAAATACAAATGTCAGTTGACTTATGGCATGTGAATTTGTGGTTGCCACACCCAACAAATTGTATTTATTGATCAATTATTGATCATTGAAGATTTAGCGAAGATTTAACTTAAATCTACTGCCTTTCGAGATTTAATTTTAATGGTAAATCTTAAAAGATTTAACGTTAAATCTCCTCAAAGGGCTAAATCCGCATTAAATCTAATAATGGAGACATAATATTATATTATTTATTATATAATGAGGGTTGTTGCTGAAAGGTATTTGATATACATACATATAAGTAAGTGTGATTTTCACAGACATTTTGTTGATATTATTCAAAATCACAATAGGGGTATTCTCTGAGTCTTGCAAAGCCCTTGCACGGTGCACGGATTGCACGGTTTGCAAAGCTGTCCCATACGAAAACCGGTTTTAACCGTGCAATCCGTGCAATCTGTGCACCATGCAAGGGCTTTGCAAGACTCAGAGAATACCCCTAATGTCTTAAACGTTGAGGAAAGAAAATCAAAAATTACAGTTCACTGATGATATTAACACTAAAATATAATTAATCGATTATCGATTCACAGCAGCAAAGTCATCACCAGATTCACTTAAATGTTTACTTTTTGCTGTAAAATTGAAGATGTATGAAAACTAAAATATAATTTGGGGGATTCCCTTAAACTCTAAAATCTTAAACTGTGTAAAACTCGTAAGTTTACGAGGCTCTTACGGGAACGCCCCCCTTTTGCAAATGAATAAATAGGTGCGTAAAGTGACTGGCTGAAAAGGGTTTCGTGAATACAATTTTGTTTCGTAGTATTTTTCATAACAGTCCGTCAGCTCGAACGGAAGCTTAAATATAATTAGAAATGCGAGAATTTGTAGAAAACCCATGTAAATACAGTTAGTGGATGAAATGTATTAATTTTATTCACCTATTATTTTTCCATTTGTTTTCGATATTTTATCATACATTTTAGTATAAAATCTTCGGTCCCTCGGCAACACTGAAGTTTACGAGGTCGTTTGCGCATCAAATTTGCCTCGTAAATTTACGAGGGTCTCGTAAATAGAGCTCCATACAAATTTTGAAATTTGTGAAATTTACGAGATTTTCGAGGTTTACAAGGCTTATACGAGTTTAAGGGAATACCCCTATTTTCATTATCGTCAAATATTTACTAAATAATTAAAAAAAAACCCTTCATTTATGTACGATTTACAACTATACATGTGAAAATTAAAATCAAAATAACTTCTTCCAAATAACCGATGCCAGATCGGAGATTTAATTTACTAGGCATCTTTTTAGTAGCTTTTTGTGAAAAGTTACTTTGCCATACTTATTTACTACTTAACAAGAATTTTAGCAAAATATTGCTGATTTTGGTTAAATAAATTATTTATTTCAAGGAAATTGGTATTTATTATTTTTATAAATTTCTGGAAACCGATTGAAACCTGTGCCTGAAACGGTTTCGGTATCGTTCCTTTTCAGTTCAAGATAACGGTTACGGTTTCGGTTTCGGTTTCGGTTTCATTCCTTGAATAAAACCAAATGGCTTTATTTCCATTGTCAGCCAGAATTAGGGCCATATCGAATTTATGGTTTTATTTCCAATCAAAGAAGAAAATATAGCCAGTATGGCTTTATTACGTATGGTGTTATTGCACACGATACAGAAAAAATATCAGAAAGTGTATCCACTTGACAAGCATTTTCTGCACTATTCTGGGCATATATACGTTATGGTTGCACATTTAAGTGGACAGACGTATCCGTCAATTAACCAAAAATAGAATAAGCTGAAACGTCCCAGTTTTAGGCATAATTCTTTTCATTTTCGTTCACCTTTATGTTTATTGTGCTGGCTGGGAATATTCTACCTTATCCTGAGTTTCACCTGAAAAAAAATCACCCGAGAATTTGTCATCCGCCCATAGTAAAACCATGGAAACCAAAAGTGAAAAGTGAACCGGTTCGGGGAAACTGAAACTCATGATAAGGCTAATTATGATTTGGAAAATGTAACTCTTTAACACTTTTCTTTTATCTTCCAGTACTCTCGAATATCACGATTGTATATCGGTTAATGCTCGCTGTCAACGTATCTGTGATCAATGGGATCGCTTGGGTGCGCTCACGCAGCGTCGTCGAACAGCCTTAGATGAGGCTGAACGTATCTTGGAGAAAATCGATATACTGCACCTGGAGTTCGCTAAAAGAGCTGCTCCGTTCAACAACTGGTTAGATGGCACACGTGAAGATTTAGTTGATATGTTTATTGTACATACAATGGAGGAAATACAAGGTCTCATTCAAGCGCATGATCAGTTTAAGGCCACATTGGGAGAAGCTGATAAGGAGTTCAACTTGATTGTCAACTTAGTACGTGAAGTGGAATCAATTGTTAAGCAACACCAAGTCCCTGGAGGCTTGGAAAATCCGTACACAACACTCACTGCCAATGATATGACAAGAAAGTGGAGTGACGTTCGTCAATTGGTACCACAACGTGACCAAACGCTTGCAAATGAGCTACGTAAACAACAAAATAATGAAATGTTGCGTAGGCAGTTCGCTGAAAAGGCAAACATTGTAGGACCATGGATTGAGCGACAGATGGATGCTGTTACTTCAATCGGAATGGGCCTACAAGGCTCGCTCGAAGATCAATTGCATCGCCTTAAGGAGTACGAACAGGCAGTATATGCCTACAAACCCAACATTGAAGAGTTAGAGAAGATTCACCAGGCCGTGCAAGAATCTATGATATTCGAAAATCGTTACACGAATTACACAATGGAAACATTGCGCGTTGGCTGGGAACAACTGTTGACTTCTATTAATCGTAATATCAATGAAGTCGAAAATCAAATTCTTACACGTGACTCTAAGGGAATAAGTCAAGAGCAATTAAATGAGTTCCGGTCCAGTTTCAATCACTTCGATAAGAACCGTACCGGACGACTAACTCCTGAAGAATTTAAGTCATGCCTTGTCTCTTTGGGTTATTCTATCGGAAAAGACAGACAAGGAGAAATGGATTTCCAAAGAATTTTAGCTGTCGTCGACCCCAACTCAACTGGTTATGTGCATTTCGATGCCTTCCTTGATTTTATGACTCGAGAAAGCACCGATACTGATACCGCCGAACAAGTGATTGATTCGTTCAGAATTCTCGCAGCCGATAAGGTAAGATACAAGTCATATGTAGCTCATACATAGTACATATCGTCTTTTAAATTACGAAACTGCGTATAAAAATAATGCAAAACCGCGTATGTGAGGTTGTCCAACTTTTACAGTAGAGAGTAAAAACTGTGTTATTTCAAAACGGTTCTCTCTTTTATAAAGCAAACTTATTTCTGGCTGGTATGTATTATAAATCGATATTTTGATATGAATGCATAAGGCTTGATGGCAGGAGTTGAGAAAATCTCATTTTTGGAACAAATGTCAGTTACGCGGTTTTTTAGAATGACGATACTTGGTTTTGTACTTTAAACGACGATATGCATGCATAAGCATCTATGATATCAATAAATATTGGTTTTTCTGTTACTTAGCCATATATATTGCCTGATGAGCTCAGACGTGAACTCCCTCCAGATCAAGCAGAATATTGCATACAGAGAATGCCACCATACAAAGGACCCAACGGAGTGCCTGGAGCTCTTGATTACATGTCCTTCAGTACTGCTCTATATGGCGAAACTGACTTGTAAGAAAGAGAAATGCCAATAATAACGGAAACATCGAATAAAATGAATAGTTCACTAAAGGAATGCATTCAATTTGTATTGATACCATTTGAAAAACTACGGTGCCATCAAAACAAGAGTGATTTTGCAGTGTGTTTCGAATATTTAAATTTATAAAATTTCGATACATTTCCGGAGCATAAAAATTCTGATATACATATCTATATATTCTATTGTTACTAACAACCATCAAGCGGTTTACATATATAAAATCATAAATGTGAACATTTGTTGCGCATATCGGAGTACATATCAAAATATCTAGGGTAATGAGGGCACAATATAAGTACTTATGTAACTCAGCAAAATCAAATGTGTATGCTCGTACACACGCCCAGAACTGCTTGCCATTGCCATCCTGTATTTTGAAATCTTGAAATTTTTAATCGTGATCATATTCTCTGAATATAATTATTTGACCGAATAAATATATAAAAGGTTGGACTGTAAACAAATGGTCAATACGATTTAAGTGGACGATTGAAAGGAACATAGAATAAAGAAAGATAAATCAATAAGAATGTTAGTTCTATAGGCGGCCAGAAAACAGCTATTTGATTTACTAATACATTTCTGGGGCGAATATTATATATTTATTTTTTATCTTTTGTTATGTTAATTTAATATTTATTTCGAGATTATTTATAATGATTTCATAACTCTTTATTTAATTTCTAATTACGTTTTATATAATTATTATATAAACTAGTATATGTTACAATGATTGAAAAATGAGAAAAGAGGGCATTATATAATAATTTGTAAGGATTCTAGAATGTTCAGATGATATCAAAATGAAGTACACTTATAACACCTATTAAAGTCAAAAAATATACTTTTGTATATTAAAACAATCCATACATTTCTGAGCTTAAAATAATCACATTTAACATACAATTATGAATTATGTTCATTTTTTTGGTTGTTTTTGTTTTGAATATGAAACTAGATGGACCTGGAATTCTATTACATTTTAAACAACCAGAAATTCTCGATTGTTAATGGGAGAAAAGATAAAGGACATTTATTTATACGCACTTATGTAAACTTTTTTGGTGTGAATTAAGGTGATTGACTCGGCTTTTCTAAACCGGTTTCCACCGATTTTTTTGGACAACTATAGACGGGTTTTTTGGAATCTTGATGTTTCGATTATAGCGGCATTCGTGATCGAGTGATTACTAGATTTGAATCGAAAGACACTCGCTATCGACTGCCGTAATCTCAAAATCAAATTTCGATTCAAGTTACGTTCGATACCGAATGCCGCGATTCGGTTCCGGTTTTTTCATTTCACACAAATCTTGACCTCCCAATAAAAGTTTTGAGTTTTTCGAAGTTTTCAAGGCTTTTTCCAGTTTAAGGGAAACCCCTAAATAGTTTTAAATTATAACCTAGGTAATTTGGGATGAACAGTACATCATATTTGATACCAATAAATTAATGTTTGGCGCTTAAATGTTTTCTACGTGTTTGGCCGAGCTTCTCCAATTCGGGTTCTGCTTCTTGATATTGTGACACAAATGAATCTACACTTTTATTCCATCTATGAAGAAAATGTTTTATGGCAGAAGTACACTCAGAGATTTGCCATTGTCTGCCGAGGGGCGACCGCTGTTTAAAAAAAATTATTTGATGTTGCTGGGACCAGAACTTGAATCATGAACCTCCCGAGTGGCAGTAGGCACCTCTAAGCACTCGGCTACGGCGGCAAGAGCACTACTCAAATCCGAATAGTCTGGAAAAATGCAATAAGTATGAAAAAAAGTTAAAATAAGACCAAATAGTCAGAAAAAATGCAATAAGTATGAAAAAAAAGTTAAAATAAGACCAACGTAAATTGTTCACTTTTGATCTAAAAAAATTTGAAGTTATTTTGCTTTGCTCTTTTCTAAATAAAAGCTATCTTTACTGTTAATAGTTTTATTATAATTTTTGGTCATGAACTCGTACCAACAGCATTTTAACTGTATGAAAACTATGGGAAACTCGAAAACCGCTTTTGCAACAAATGCGAATAATCGAACGCCCTAGTGTGAATGATACTATAGTCTGGTACGAAGACGGTGAATACTATTTGGCAAAGGGTGAAGGTTTCGGATTGCTGGGGAGAAGAAATTCAAATTCTAAAATTAGTAAAATTTCTTTGAAAACAATACAAACGATATCAGCTTAATAACTACAATTTAGATGCCACTTCTTTTTTTTTAATATACAAAACCCATATTTGCCGATTCGACAACGCCTATTTCAATTTGATGTGCATTCCTTCCAATGTAAAATAAATTGGAGTATTTATGCGTTTTATTAAATGCTATAGTTTTTATTATGTTAGTTGATTCTTTCAGTTTTTGTTCACACTTTTTAACCTATAGATGAAATAACAAATAAACTCTGTTTTCGGACTGCTGCTGCTTGAGATCACTGAATAAAGTTACTAAAATCACTATTGGCGCTTTAGCAAATAAATAGAAAAGTAGTATAATTTATGTTGAAATAAAAACAGATAGAGCTTAGGTTTAAATTAATTTCTTTATTTATTTCCAATTTTGTATCGAACCCGAACCTGCTGGAAGCCAACAAATAACAGCAAACATCTCTGCACGTTTAGCTATAGACAGACATACAATTGGGGCCTTCATCTAAAGTGATAAACTGCTGAGAAACTTGATAAATTTATCATTTTGATAAATGAACTGTCAAAGTTTGTATGGAAATCTATTTAACCCATGGTGGAATTATACAAGGAGTTGGACATTGAAAGCGTTCTCGCTCTAATACGCCATCTTGGCTCCCTTAGCAAAATCAGTGTTTCCCCCTTGAAAAAATACCTGAAATACCAATGAAATACATAATTTCCTAACAAATATTTTCCTTAACAGTACTGAACAAAGCTTTGACATTTGCTTTATTCCTATTCATTGACAATTGCAAATAATAATAAAAATGTGTAAAATTCAGGGACCGTAAATAACAGTTACTTTTTTGCAACAGCTAAACTTGTCAAGATATTTTTAAGTCGAAAATAAAAGTCCTTTCCTAATAATAAACAAACCGCTTATCCAAATTAAACAAGTTTGGTATCAACTGAAGGAGGACTAAAATAGCTTTACAACAGAAATATCTAAACGAGGTAAGCCAGTAGAAAGCCAGCTATTGAAAAACATTTAAATAAAAAATGTTTTTTTAATTACCATAGAACAAACCTTGGGTCATTATAAAAAAAAAACATAGATAGAAGTGGTAGCCTTCGATCGTTATTTCTGTTTAAAAGCTATTTAAGTTCTCTTTTATTTGGTACCGAATTTGTTTAATTTGGATAAGCGGTTTGTTTACTATCCGGAAAGACTTTTATTTCGAACTTAAAAAATATCTCGCTAATTTTAACCGTTGGAAAAAAATAACTGCTATTTACGGTCCCGGGTAAAATTTCTAATTGACTTTGGCTCTTTAAACGTTGACGTGACGAATTTTCTAGCTTCTTTGTAAAGGATATATCTCAGCTACAGTTTTAACTGAACGTAGCAAAGAAATAAATGAATAAAAAACCCAATTATAATGTATAACCGACATTGTTCATTTCATAGAATTAGATTGTTTGGGCTTGGATGTACAAAAGATGCAAGCTGTGCAATATGTGAGCTCCAATTACTCAGTGAGGTCATTTTAGCCAAGTTTTACCAAGACTTACGTCCGCGTTAGTGCATTCGTGGGCAATGTGAGCGGCCTGTGTATGTCCTTATACATGCATATGCATGTATGTGCAACTTTTTTCCACGACAGGAAAAGGGAGAGTTTAGGTGGAGCTGCTCCGACTTTTCGATTAAAGGGTTTACTAAAGTCAGCAGGCTCACAGTTCCCATGGCCGCATGAGTTCAAGGCTGATGTTATTGTCTATTTCCTATCACTTAACGAAAAATATACGTCGAATTTTTCGCTGAGATCTCCCGTTTACGTGAGATCCGTTTGGAACAATGGGAGATTATTCAACTTTTTGCTAAACGTATGGCGCTTTAGGCCGGGTCTGAAGGACATTCCACAGTCGTGTGTTCTCGTATTCAAAGAAATATTCGAATTGAAATCGCTATTGCATAGCAGTATTGCGAATATATACATATTTAATTTACAATCAAATGGAGCATACAATCATACCAGAAGCTGAGAGACGATATGTGTAATTATTAAATATTTGATATGTACTATAGTTTATACTATAAATCGATTTTAGGTAAAACACCATCATAAGTTTGACTGAAGTCTGTTGTATATTTTTTACTTACTTGTTAATTAAAAAAAGCGTACTTTATTTAGTACCTTGCAACATAAAGGCTTTCTTTTATTCCCTGCTTCTTTCTATACTTCTAAAATATAACTTTTAGCTAAGCGAGTGTCAAACTGGCCTGTCACAATGTACAACACCATGTACAATTCCACCATGGCCATTCATAAAGCTGATGCCAGAAAAACGATTGCTTCGCTTTGCGTGACAGATTCGCTTTGATAGATAAGGTGATATGTATGAAAATGCACAAAGCATTCCACAAATATCGTTCCAGCTGCAATATGGTCAACTCCCATCTTTTTGCGCGCGTTGTCCATCAGCTGGTTTAATATTTATTTTGTTTCGTCTAAATTCGAGTTTTCATGCAGAAACGTAAAATTTAATTACATTTCTGGTATTTTTAAAACTAAACATACAAATTTAACAGCAATTTTCGCAAGTAAAAAAGCAGTACAAAATTGTTTTCTTGGCGTTCATTGTGGCGTACCTTTTGCCTCTGGCGCTTTGCTGGCATAGTTATAAATGTCACGCAAAGCCACAAACTTTTAACTGGTTCAGCTTAACTATACTTAACTAAAATGTTCAACTTGGATCACATTTCTAACAATCGGTGTATTTACCATAAAAAATTTAAACAATAACTTGGTTGAAGAAACCATTGTACTTTTGGATCAGTGATAACCAGGGAACGGATTTTTAGGACCTAAAACCCTATAAAAAAGCAAAATCAAATAACGAAATAGGCTAGAAAAGGCAAAATAAATAGCAAAAAAGGCAAAAGAAGACACTAAAAAAAGACAAAAATCGAAAAATAATCAAAATATACATTTATTTTCCCCCCTATTACACTGTACAGCACTAGGCTGGGTATTGGACCAAACCAACTTTATTTAAGAGATTGAGTCATAAGTAAAAAAAGTAAGTTCTCCGTTTTTCGAAGTTAGCCTCCGAAATCGAGATATGGGCCTTCGAAGTTCGAAATTGGACCTTTGGTAAAAAATTATTTTTAATTATTGCACGTAAAAACCAAAAAAAGTAAAAATACAGACGTGGTCCGCCTTTTTCTCTTATTTTATGGTATACAACTTTTTTTGTGAAAACTTATATTACAGGTGCTATAAGAGGTCAAAGATCTTCTAAGAGGTATAAGATCTTCGAAAAATTAAAAACTTAATATTTCAGAAAAATTTGAACTGATTTTCGTATCGTTGTAAAGGTTATTTAACCCCCTTTCTTGTGATATGCATATTTGTATACTTCGTATATAAAAATCTGAGAAAAAATGCATTTAAATGAAAATATACCTTTTTTTGAATAAAGAAATATTTTAAACAAAAAACCGATTTTTAAAAAATTGGTATCGTTGTAAAGGCGATTAAACCCCCTTTCGTTTAATATGCATATTTGTATACTTCGTATATAAAAATTGGAGAAAAAACACTTACAAGGAAAAAATACATATTTTTTCTTATAAAAAAAAATTTACAAAAAATTACTAATTAGTAATACAATTGAATACCGTATTTAAATAAAACAAATAATTTAGTGTTTTAAGCGTTAATGCGTTCTTGTTCACCCACATCCCTGTTAAAAATAAAGCAAAAGTATATGTAGCAGAA